CAGTCCGGTTTTTCATGCAACCATACAGTTGCATCATATTCTGGGAATATGGCCATCTATTATTTGACTTTAATATGTAAGATAAACAACAGGTGTTTTTCTTCTGGGCTACAAAGGTAGCAAGACCACAGTCGGTTCCATTTGCCTAATGGCACACCTGCCAAGGCTGGTGTATGCTTTCCAGTTTTTCTGACCTTCAGCATATTCCACAGATAAGATGCCACTGTGACTACTATAAACTCTGCAAAGTTTAAAGCAATGGAAAAATATTGCATCAGAGTTCAGGCTCCCTGAACTGAAAGCCAAGCAATCTGTTTCTTTCTATTCCAGGATACTTGCTTTTAGTTTGTAAAACCAAGATTATATTGATAAGAAGGATTCTGGAAAAAAACGTTAGAACTTCCGTTAGAACTTCCTCATAATGTTTTTCATAGGGATAAACTTATCAGTGACATAAGTTTCCCAATTCTTACATGAAATAACCATGGACCTGCAATTTAAACCAAAATATTTTTCTGCTGGTATTCTTCTGTAAGCAGATTTCTAATCAAGGAAAAGTTAAGCCACAGAGTCTACCATGAAGGGCATTTGCTGACAGACTGATCAGAAATTATCAACTATCCAAACGGATTCAAAGTTGAAGCAAGGTTTGGCACGAGCCAGTAGTTTACAGACCCCCAAACTCCATTCATAACTCACTCTACCAAAACACAAGCAGCTTCTACAGCATTTTTAGTAGTCTGACACCTGAAAAGGTCTTACTTTTGGCAAAAGTTTGTGCTGGACCCTCAAGTAAGTCTTTGACTGAGATATGCTTCTTCTGAATAGCAGTTTTACAGTCTTTTGTATCCATCACCAAAAACACAAGTCATTTGAAAAGAGTACTGATACCTCCGCAGTAACTGAATTTCTTTGAAGCACTTCATATATTTACTTTTCCATTCAATTTTTTGCCTTCTTGTTGGGAGTGCAAAGAGAGTGATACCTGGGCTATTCTCCGTTTTGGCTAGGATGCCAAGGAAATTACCTAATGACTGTACCAATAACATATCTACCTCTACATTAGAGCATCACTTGAGGACGGTGTCTTTACTTACTGCCATTAATTTAAGGCGGCATCCAACTTGCATTCTGGAGAACAGAGTTAATAACTGCATGTGGAAACAATTTATGAAAGCAGGTATCATGGAGCTGCACAAATAATATACTTAATATCTAGTTTAAGCTAATTTTTTCTATCTAGCACATAAATGCCCTATACAGCTGAATACTATAAAAGTGCAGACCGTGAAAGGGGGAAAAGTAACGGCACAGAATGAAGAAAGAGACAGAAACTCCATGTCAATTATTTAAGCCTTCCTTCCCAACTCCCCCCCCCCCCCACCCCCGCCAAGTCCTTAACTTTTTTCCATTCAGGAAATACTTTATGGAAAAAATTAGCAACTTCAGTGCAAACCATCAAGTTCAAAAGCCACTTTTCAGGTACCATTGATATTACTGTCTAATGGTTTCAATCAACATTTTATTTCCAAAGAAAATGAATATGCAGAAATAAGTAAGTATTGGCAACCTACAAATACAAAAGTAAAAATGCAAATTCATTACATATAGAAAAGAAAGGGTACGAGGAAATGAATTATAAACCTCACATTTGTGAAGCAGCTGCATCTTTTTGCATAATACCAGTCTAAAGGCCTCAATTTAGCTCCCGATTGTGCAGCACATCCCTTTTCAGTCACTTTATCAAGGGAAATTACAAGCAACTAAAGAATACATATGAAAGTGTTTAACTCTGACTCTGCTACATCTTACGGCCTCAATTCCCTCCAAATAGAAAAATCAGAAACGCGACTCAAAAGGACAGAGGTTCTGAATAGAAAATACAGGCTATATGAGTAGTGATGCATAAGAACTCCTTAGAGGGAACAGGTAACTTCATCGGGCTAGAACACCTCAAATGATTAGTCCTCCAGCACGGCCCCAATTGTCATTTGAAGGATCAAAAGTGGATCAAACAACTCAAGAGTTTCTCTACACAGAGAAAACATCTACAATGACATTTAGTATGGTATAAAAATGTTTTGTCCACATCAGTTTCAGCTATTTTTGAAGGATAAAAAATAGCAACAAAGGCCACGAATGACATCTTTTACCAGATCAGAAGATTTTTGCAGTGGCATACAGTTACAGCTGCATTTCAAAAGAATTGTATTTATTTGGATTAGCAGATAATCAAGCATTAAAAACATGCTAACCTGCAATTTTAACTGAAACAGTCCCATCCAGCTCCCCTGTAGGCTTGCATTTCAGCTGCTCAAACTAAAATCACACTTGCCTCATCTTCCCTGATGTTTTAGTGTAAACAATCTATGTTCAGGCTAAGCAGCCTGTGATAAAGCTAGTTTTGCCGTACAGACAGACCCTCAAGGCCCTGGACAGATGTTCACTTTTGCAAATGGCTCTGGCAGAAGTTTTCTGATCCCACGATCCTGCCTAAAGGACCAGTTGGGGGTTGCTCCCCAATCGGTTGGGCCTCGAACAGATGAGGGGTGCTCATACAAGGTCCTCTGTTGGCCCTGCCATGGACAGAGATAAACAGGTGAGGCAACATCTAACCAGTCTAGCTGGCTTTTGAGAATGTCTGCCCACCGCCTACCTTAAATCTATACCTTTGATTTTCCTGGTATACATCTTCCTTAGACAGATGGGCCCTGCCTTCGACTCCAACTTGACACACAGTTAACAGAAGTGTTGCGGATTTCAGTACAAGTTCACAGAGGTGCAAAGATTTACATTTGTGGACGACAGCAAGATCTAGGAAAAGGAAGTACACCAAAATAGATAAATAACCTGTGGAACTTCTGTACCTGTGATAAAGTTCAGTTACCCTTTTATCTACTGCCAATGATAGGAAGTCTGGATATCAGTTATGAGTAATATCATCTTTCTATGATTTTTTTCTAAGATGGCAGCTATGTTGTTTTTTTCCACTGCAGTATATTTGCCATGTTTCTCTATCAAGCATTTCCAATCATCCTCCCTCAAAACATGCTTCATTTCACCTTCATTTTAAACGGAATTAAGCTGGCAATTGCAAAACTGATCAGTTCACTGTTTTAACAGGGGGAAAGCATCATTTTTCATTCTCCTGATAATCTAATCTTCCTGGTTCCAAATTGCCCATATATCCCCACCTTCTTTATGTTTATTGCAGTCTATGTCTTTGCTACGTTCCAACCTGGCACAATGAATGTTACCACAACAAACTGAACCATTCTCACTAGCCTTGAGCATCACAGGGATTAACTGTAGCATAACTCAGGATTATTTTTTTTCATGCTCATTTTCAAAGGAACAATGTTATATTCAGAATTCAAATTCTTTTACTGAGAATTAAACCATAAACAGTTTGGGCCTACAGGCTTTCTACGTGGATATACTCAAACATTTAAACATCCATAGAGCCTACTGAGAATAAGAAAGTCTGTTCCAGGATCCTAACGTTCTTTACGCTGGGACTCAGGCCACAAATAATAAATGCAGCTCACCTGGTTCCATTCTTTACCTTCGAAAACAAACAAGCACCCAAACTCGGGAAAATTCACACCATCAGCTCTCCTTTCAATTTAAGGTTACTATCCCAACTGCCTTGGTAAGACTTCAGCTGAACACACCCTGTTACTCCACATTCTTTAAAGTAAATGACATCCAAGTCCCCTCTGTATTTCCCGCCCTGATTCTGCATGTAGCTTGCTTTCTTCCTCTCCCTTTTTTTAGGCCTCAAATCCAACCTTTTCAGAATCACATTTCAGTATTCAAATCACTGCAACAGTGACTTAATCTTTACAGTATATTAGAAAGAACAGAAATAAACCTTTTTTTAAAAAAAACAATAACTTATAATTTTCCTGATATTCTTCCAGATCTTTCTGCTAATCCATTAAAGAAAGCATCTCCAGCATGAACATAAGGCATGACTAACCACAATTCCAATTTAATTAAGCTAATGTCTATTGATAATATAGGAAATTAAGGCAGAAGTATTGCAGTGAATCTGATACCTGGTTGCGGGGGAAAGCATTTTGTTGCAAATTCTTACATTCTGACAGCTTGATTTAATATAGAGCAGATTTTATCCACACATAGCAGCCTCACCTTTGTTGAAACAAAATCAGTCATATCATAATTTAAAAATTCATCTAAATATATTACATTTAGGCTCTTTACTACACGGGATATCTACACTTCCAGTATTTAAAGATGATTTTTGGAAGCACAACTGATGGAGAAATTTCATCTTCCCTCCCCCTACACCTGGAACAAAAACTTTCAATCTTATATGGGATGAAAACATCTCTCTCTGACCAACTCTTACAGTTTTTTTTCCTTTTTGTTTAAACATAAGAAAAACATAGTACATTCGGCCAGAAGATATACTGTATGTTTCAATACACTTATTTTTGCAGTATGAAATAACATCTTCAAACAGAGGCAAAGAGCACACTCATCCTGAAACGACCCTTTGAAAATAAGAATTATCTCTAGAAAAAGCAGGATTAACATACAAGCCTATTAAATTCAGCATCTGTGTGATTTTTTTTTTTAAATCACTGAAATGTAAATTGCAAGATCTGCAATTGAAAACTGTTTTTAAAATACTAAAACAAAAAAACCCCCCCCCCCCCCCCCAAAACAATGTATATGTAATGTAAGAATAAATAAATAAGGAGCCTGCCTAAATGAAGGAAGTCTGGTGATCATACAGATGTTACTCAATTTCCAAAAAACATTCTTTTTGTCTAGCATACCTGTATGAACAACGTATTTTCTAATGCCAAGACAGCTCTAGTAACAGAGTATCTAAAGAAACATCATTCGGACGCACAAAACATGAAGATTCTTAAATTTTGTTTAAACCAATGTTGTATCAATGACATTTATAATTTTTTTTATAGCATGTGATCAAATAAAACAGAAAACCATAATGTATACATTGCTAATTTTTTTTAAGTAATGTTATGTACATTTTATTGCCAGTATATGCACAATGGTAAGCATAGAACTATAAATACACAATGTAATTAAACAGTAGAAAACAACAAGAATGTTACACATAACGAAGGAAAGAAAGAGGAGATACTATTTTCCTGATGTAGCTGCTAAAAAGGGCTAGTGACAAGTTATGACAGTCCTGTTTTAAGTCTTTACATATATTTCTACAACTTTTCCCCCAATAGAATAAATCTCTGCAACGGCATTGCTTTTTTAACAACCATATCTCAAACTTTTTCTATCAGATTCACTTCAAACTAAAGTGAAAACAACCTTTCATGTAACTACAAGCATCTGACTTCATTTTTGTTCAGTTTTGTTTTTCAGGGTACCTAGCAAGTAAAGTGTGTAAGCAGTTTCTTACGATATTTGGCTGCATGTTGAAGAACAGAATTTTGCATACAGATTAAGTGATAATTTGAAACAAAAAACAGAAAGAAAAAAGAAGAATTTCTATAGATATAGATTTCTATAGATTTCTATTTCTATAGATAGATATAGACTGGGTGCTATAGGCAGCAGCTCATTCAAAAATTAGTCACCCTGAAGAGGTAGAGAGAATTTTAGCCTAGCATAGATCATCATCCTTGGCACCGCTATTTTCTCTCTTATCAGGATACGCTTTCTATAACTAGACAACATCACAGTCAAAGGAAGAAAAAAAAGCCAGGAAAAAAGCTACTCCTGGGAAGGGTTGTGTTTCATCCCACTTCTCAGTTAATTAGCTTGTCGCTTATATCCAAGACAAGAAGAAATTAAAAAAAGAAAAAAAGAAAGAAAAAAGAAAAAGACAACATTTAGGGACACATTTACTTGATTTTTGTTCTCTCTTTCCATTATCAAGTTCATAAATACAAAGAACCATTATTCACAATAAACTAACTCTTTTTCAGAAATGGAAAAACAAACCCTGGAAACATTTCCACACCTTAATCCAGATGGGTCTTGAGGATGCTATTCAAGAAAACCATGCAAGTAGTTTGGTGCAGCTTTCCCAACTCATCCAAAATATATACTTTTTAAATTAAAAGGTGGCAAGATTCATAGCATTTGTGACTATTCCCCCTCCCCTCCCATTTAAATTCAATGCAGAAAACCTTGGTGCTTTTAGGAAGTTAACAAATACATTGTTTTCTGCACTGTTGTCATAAAATCCCATGTGAGTTACAATACAAGACTACTGGTTCCAGCAATTAGGTTGAGAGGAAACATTCTAGTGATAAAGATAAATACATACTGAGCATGCTTGGGCAGAGCACTCCATTCTGAAGCATCCTGCTTGAAGAACGAAAGGTGACAAGGATGGTTCACATCCATCAAGTGACCATTAACTCTGCTGCTAAAAAGCAGACTGCCACACTATCACCAGTTCGGCAATGCTACCCTGAAAGGGCTGTCTTCCACATTAGGAGGTACTAGTTGTACTAGTCCTCTACTGTTCACACTAAATTCTTATTTATGCAACAAACATACAACCAATGAACAATATCACTTTTACAGAACTGGATCAATCCAGCTTTTTTATAGGCATATTTCTCAATCTCCAGAATACCCCAAACAAGCTGTAAATAAGATGAACCACCAACACAGTGACTGAGTCTCACTGCAGTTCAGACTAGTCCTGCCTTGTTTCACATCACTTCTTGTTTCTAGCAAAGGACATGATACTCAAACAAAATAGCAATAAAAACATAATGTTACCTGCAGCTGAATGAAAGCAACAGAATTTATATTTTAACTTCTGAAGCTTAAAGCATACCTGTTTAATTAGCATTAAAAAAAATTTAATACAGTAACACTGGCAAAAGTTAATGGGAAGACACAGAGGATTGTGAACAGGAAAACTAATGGATTAGATTATTTTTAAACTTTATTTCGTTTTGATCAACTGATGTTAATACTGTTTTTCCTTGGATTTGGAATAACTCTATTGCAACAGTCACATGCAGGCTGAGGACAGCCGTTGGTTAAAGAAAAAAAAACAAAAGAAAAAACAAACAGAAATGAAAAAAAAAAAAAAAGAGTTCCAAAATTGTGTGTAAGAATTTTCCTTCCACTGAAGAGGGTCTTGCCCTTTCTTTAGGGGACCTGGTTCACTCTTGTCAGCTTCATTAGCTTTGTCCAGATACATCTGCTGTTGCATCCCCTGGTCCAGAGCCTGTTTGTGCACGTTTAATGTAAAGGTTCAATAATTTCATCTGAAAATTTAAGCCAGAAATACACTTGGTTACTATTCACAAAATGTACAGTTGAAATCTTTGCAGTAGCCCACAGGAATGATGCACTGAAGGGAATCATTAAACCGTTTTCTTTTTCCCCAAAAGAAAAATTTTATTTTATTTTATGCAGTTGATTGAAAGGTAACATATTTGCCAATGAAAACCTCAAACATGACAACATTTGTCACAAGGAGAAACTGATCAAGCTTCACTAAAGATGTTAACAAAAAATCAAAGGTATCTGGATTAGGACAGATGGATTATTCTCCAAAATTACAATGCTATTCTGAGTAAGTTTTTTTTTTTTTTTTTAATATACTGTTGAACTTTTAAGCCTCTAATTAACAGAGCTTTTTTTTTTTTTTATTTACTAAAGCTTCCAATACTGTCTAGAATTGCACATTCAATATAATCAATACCAAACAGTATTTTTTAAGATGAAACTGTCTTAGAATAAAATGGACAAAATTGTCCTGCGTGATTCACAAGGACAAATGAATTTGCGATTAACATTCAGCTGTTTGCATGAAAAAGAAACAAAACACCAAAAAAACAAAAAAGAAAACCCCTAGTATGCAAGAGATGTTGATTCAATTTCCTGAATCAAAAAAAGACCACAGATTGAATTTTTTCAAATAAGAGGTAATGAAAGGACTGATGAAAGCAAGAGAACAGATAAGGAGAACAGATAAAGCTGTTGCATGTAACATCTGCACATTACATTTATTGCTTTTCAGCCTACAATTACATGAAAAACACAATGAGAAATAAGGAAAGGAAAAGCCAGGCTTAGTATATCCATTATCACTATTCCAGATTTAAAGTCTGACAGTGAACTCAAGCATGTTCAAAATTTTAAATAAATAGATAAATATTTATCTATTTTAAGTTTTTGGCCTCTGATAGTATGTAACTACATCTATTATTAGGCAGCAAGAAATATGATATAATTTAGTATTTAAGGCTAAAGTTCACGCGCTTGTATAAGTATCTGAAGATGTAAGGATTTTCAGTTTTGAATCTTTTACGCTAAAGTTACATTGATCCTCTGTCTGAGGATCTCTGTTTCAGTAGCCTTGATATTTTTGTTCAAATATATACTTTTATGAGATCTGCCATCAAAATGCAAATACATACATGCAACTATGGACCAAGATTTCATTATATGGTATGTTTTACTTACTTTACTGCCAGTGAGTTGACTGAGATGTGGTTTTAGTTCATCACCAATTACTGCATGAATGGCTACAAGGCAGAAAACACATGCCTTACGAACACTGCTCTCTGAATTATCATAACCCTAGAAAGCAATAAAATTAACATTAATAGCTTATCAGTTAATGATTAAAAGCCTCAAAGCTATTTAATTATCCTTATGATAAATACATTAAAATCTACAGTAAATGAATGATAAGGTAGCCCAGTGAAGCATTCCAATAACAAAAACCAAGCAAATACAGGGCATACACTTAAAATGAATTCTGCTTCTGAATCACTGTTGACCATCACTTTCCAGATTGAAAATAAAACCAATACGTTCCTGTTCGTAAGTTATACTGTGGAAGCAGGGCTGCTATCTTGCTCTGTGTTGATTGCAGTAGGGGAGAGCATAAGAGAAACAGTTCTAGATTATAACGATATTTCTTTAGAGCAGAAATTTAGAGCTTCCAT